CTCTCTCTCTCTCTCTCTCTCTCTCTCTCTCTCTCTCTCTCTCTCTCTCTCTCTCTCTCTCTCTCTCTCTCTCTCTCTCTCTCTCTCTCTCTCTGTTTCTCTTCCTTTTCCCTCTCTTTTTCGAACACGCGTTCAATGTGTATTCTCTATCGGGTGATCCGAGAGAAACGGCGAGCGAGCGGAGTTCGTGGTCGCGCGCGCCTAGAGAAGCCGATTCCACGGATTTGATCCTTTTGCGGCGGTCTGACTTTACATGGGCTCAAGTCGCATTCTCGTTGAGTGAGTCGATGCGGCATAACATAGTCGGGAAAGAAAACCCCCGCTTGCTCGCTCGCTCGCTCGCTCGCTTGCCTGTTCGCCTGCTCCTATTGTTCCGCGAGAACTATTGTTTCTATATCGGCGGACGACGAGTTCTTTTTAGTGCGCTTTTGTTTCGTAAATTTGTACAACAGAAATGTCTTGCTTGATGCCATTGATGCTTCGAATATTAATAATAATGATAATAACTACGTTGCTTATGATAGCTCAGCGATACCTTGTCACTTGAACAATCAAATTCGAAAAAGACAAATTTGATGATGACTCAAGTATCGACCTTTAGTTGTCTATAATATAAATTTTTGGGATGTAATTTTTTAAAAAGATATAGCATTGCGTATGTGTATAAAAAAATTAATATTTTTACCGTTAAAATATTTTTTTCCGATTAAACGCATAAAGTTTCTTGGCGAATTTGTCTGTTTGAAATTCGATCGCGCGGTATGTCGGTATCTCGAAATGACGTCGCAATGACGAATTATTATCCGGCACGAGTTCCACGGCAAGGCGAGAAAACGCGTCTCGCAAATGCAGGCGTAGATACCCAGTGCGTTCGCTCGTTAAAAAACTATCACGTAGCGCGTATCAGCCGGCTAATTGTTGATTATGCAGCCGTTTATCTTGGCTCTCCCTTGGTGTGTATGCGCGTCGACGATACGCCTAATAAATAATGTAAACTGCCGCGGATCTCTGGTCTCTTTTCACGTGCTGCTGCCTGGCGGTGGTGGCATCCATACGGAATTACATATGCACACCTGCCCTGTGTGTTATAACGTTGTAAACCGATGTGCACCATCTCACTTCACCGTTGGCGATCGGCGACGGTGTTGGTAACGTTTGCGGAGGCGGGTCGTACCCATCCCGTGTAAATGGCCTTAAGCCTCTTACGTCAGGTTCCCGCGGGTGGGTACCACTGATAATTAACAATTAGTGGGCACCAATTAAAACGAGGCCCGTCCGGCCGACCGGTTACTACCGCGTCTGCGATCATCGTTACCCCGTTCTGAGAAGATTCATATCTTCGCGCGAAGCCCGAAATCGCATTAAGGAAAAATTTGAGAGAAAACAAACTCTTATTTTTACAAAGTTTTTGCGCTATCAGACCGCCTTAAGGATAATTCTTTTCTTAATTTAAATTTTAAGAGAATCTCCATTATTCCATAAAGAAGCGATATATGTTTCTGTTTCTTCTTCAACGTGATTTTGTTCACCTGTTTTTTAGCTTCGTTATTTTTCCAAGGTCTTCGTGATCTTTGCAGAAAGAAGAATAAATTTGTTTTCTTCGTAAACACTTCATTGTTGTGGCAG